AAAAAAAACAAATTAGAAAGTAAAAAGTCTCCCTGTAGTCCCAAGCTGGAAAACTGGCCACTTTAACAAACCAGGATGAAAAGCAGGAACAATTTCAGTCTCTTAATGCACTAAGAATGAAGACTATTCCTGAGAAGATTCTCTACATAACCAGTGCTGAGGCAAAGCATCAAACAGCTGGGGCATGATGATATACACCTGTAATCTCAGCTCTTAGGAGCTGAGGCAAGACTATAAATTTGAGGCTAGCCTGGAACACACATCAAGATCCTGAATGAATGATTGAATGAATAAATCAAATTAGGCAACTAGTTTGCATCTCTCCACAGTGGTGACTATTCCTATCTCTGCAACCATGCTTCCAAACCTCAGAAAGGATATAAGCCCAAAGGGTGTTACTATGAAACACAGAACAAATACCACAGAGGTATAGGGTACATAGAAGTCCAGACTGATTCACTGTTTATTCAAAAGATACAAAAAAGATATAGGGCTGGAGGCATAGAGCAAGTGGTAGAGTGCTTGCCTAGAAGTAGAAAAGATCTGCCAGGCACGGGTGGCTCACGCCTGTAATCCTAGCTACTCAGGTTAGCTGAGATCTGAGCACTGCGGTTCAAAGCCAGCCCGGTCAGGAAAGTCTGTGAAACTCTTATCTCTAATAAACCACCAGAAAACCAGAAGTGGGGCTGTAGCTCAAGTGGTAGAGCACTAGCCTTGAGCTGAAGAGCTGAGGGACAGCACTCAAGCCCAGCAGAATTCAAGCCCCATTACTGACAAAAAAAAAAATGTATAAAGCATCTGAGTTCTGCCAGCCCAGGCAGAAAAGTCCATGAGACTCTTATTTCCTCTAGCAAAAAGCAGAGGGGAGAGGGAAGGAGGTAGAAGAGAAGGAGGAGGAAGAAAATCTCAGCCAGAACTTGGTGGTTCACCCCTATAATCCTAGCTACTCAGGAAGTTGAGATCTGAGGATCACAGTTTAAAGCCAACATGGCCAGAAAAGTCTGTGAGACTCTTACCTCCAATTTGATTAACTACCAAAAAAGCTAGAAGTGCGGCTGTGGTTCACAAGTGGTAGAGAGCTACCATGAATACAAAAGCTTAGTAAGAACATCACCCAGGCCCTAAATTCAAGCCCTAGGACTGGTGAAAAAGAAAATCTTGCCCAGATCTCAGATTTCCAAAGATTCTCAAAGTGTACCTGAATCTAGTGCACTTGACTGTTCATTAGACCACTCAGAAAAATTTCACAAGAAGTGGAGCTGTGGCTCAAGTGGTAGAGCACTCGCCTTGAGCTGAGGAGCTCAGGGACAGGGCCTAAGCCCAGAGTTCAAGCCCCATGACCAACCAAAAAAAAAAAAAAGAAAGAAAGTAGAATGGAAGTGGGGCACTGGCAGTTCTCACCTATAATCCTAGCTACTCAGGAGGCTGAGATCTGAGGATCATGGCTTGAAGCCAGCCTGGACAGAAAAGTCCATGAGACTATTACCTCCAACACCACCAGAAAACAAAAAGTAGCGCTGTGCCTCAAAGTGGTAGAGCAGTATCCTTGAGCAAACAAGCTCAGGACAGCACCCAGGTGCCAAACAACAGGGGGAACATAACAGTATAGAAGAGAACTCGGTCACATCCTAGAGACAACTTTCTCAGGTATAAACAGAAAACAGTAAGGTGGTATAAGGTAAGTTGGCAAGAAGTGGACAGAGGACTTGTCCCCAAGGAGGTTTCTTGATAAATAAGGCCAGAGATCCAGCAGTGGCTGGAGGCTATGCAAGGTGCAGCACTTACTTGAGCTTTAGCTCCCGGGTGAGCTCATTCTGAGTCTGCTCCAGCTCTTGGCGCTCCTTGATGTGTTCTTCTTGGAGGTCGTGGATCTCAGCTTTCACTGCCTGAAGCTTGGAGAAGAGCTAGAACCAGGGAGAGGCAGGTGAAGAGAGGCCATCAAAGAACAGGGCTCTCCCTTGCTTCTAGGACTCAAGGCACCTTGCCTGGCCTCCATCCTTTCCTACCTTTTTGAGTTTTTTAGTTTTGATGTCCACCTCTTGCTGCAATGAGCTATATGTCTCTTTAAGTTCCAGGGTCTCCTCATCTCGACTTTCCATCTGTTGCTGGATTTCTCTTTCTCGACGTTTCTGAGCAACATCACAAAATTCATCAGCTTACTTAGAGACTATGCCAGTATAAGAGTAGGGGCTAGGTGATCCCGGTTAATCTCCAGCTAGCATGAAGCTGACACACATCACAACTCCATTCTCTTGGAGGACAGTCATATACCACAGAGATCAGCTGGTTGGCCCGCCCATTCTCCCCAGATAAAAATGCAAAATTACCTGCTCTGCAATTTCCTGCCGTTTCTGCTCCAGGATTTTCTGCTGTTCATTTGTATGGTCTACTATATTTTTTCCTCCAACAAGCAGTTTACTCTCCATGGCCTGAGTGAGAAACAAAGTAAATCCATCTTGTGACTGATCTCCCTCAGAGCCTAAGTTCTCACTGGGGAGTTGAGGAAGATAAAGAGCTCAAAATTGGCTGGATGTGGTAGTACAGACCTGTGGTCCCGCCAAACCAAGGCTGAGGGAAGAGGATTGTGAGTTAAAGGCCAGACTGGACTATATAAAAACACTGTCTCAAAAATACATAGCCGGGCACTGATGGCACACACCTGTAATACCAGCTACTCAGGAAGTTGAGATCTAAGGGTCACGGTTCAAAGCCAGCCCGGGCTGGAAAGTTCAAGAGATTCTTTTTTTTTTTTAACTGTATTCTTTTTTGGTCTTTTTTTTTCTTTTTTGGTACTGGGGAAATACCCAGAAACCTGCACTTGTTAGGGTAGCACTTTGCCACTGAGCTACATCCTTATCTCCAATAAACTAACCTCAAAAACCTGGAAGTAGTACCATGGTTCAAGTGGTAAACAAATAGCCAAGTGCCAGTGGCTTACGCCTATAATCCTAACTACTCAAAAGGCTGATATTTAAGGATCAAGATTCAAAGTCAACCCAGGCAGGAAAGTCTGTGAGACTCCTATCTCCAATTAGGGAGGGGAAAGGAGGGGAAAAGAGGGGAGAATAACTGGAAGAGAAGAGTAACTGAGCCTAGAACTGTGGTTTATGCCTACAATCCTAGCTACTACCGAGGCTAAAACCAAGAGGACCATGGTTAGAAACCAGTGTGGGCAGAAAAATCTGCGAGACTTCTCTAATTAACAAATAAAATGCTAAACTGTAGGCATGACTCAGTGGAGACTTGCCAACTATAAAGCTGAGTCAGAGCTCAAGTCCCTCAGTTAAACTCCTAGTTTAGACCCTGAGTTTAGTCTCCAGTACTCAAAACAAACAAAAACTGGGTAGCTGGTGGCATAGTTTAAGTGACAGAGTGCTTGCCTAGCAGACAAGATAACCTGGACTCAATCTCCAGAATAATATAGAAAGAAAAAAAAAGACACATTAACTGTGGCCCTGCTGCTATCTTTAAGTCTATCCTTTGAGGCTGTTTCCAAAACAAAGGACTAGATTACCAATCACCCCATATACATCCCTTCCATCTCTAAAACGTCTCATGTTCTGTGATTTTAAGAAAGAAAGAACGTCATTTTCCCAAAGACAAAGCACCTGAGAGGCAGTATGGCCTGTGGCAATGCTGAATCCAGCCACAGGAGGCCTCTGTGAGTTCCCCAAACACCCTAGGTGGTGCAGACAGCCTGCGAGTTCCTGGCCTTGGATAATAGCCTTGACTCTAAAAACTGGCATGCAAATCAAACACACAAATCAAGTATGGGCACACCAGTTACACTTGCAGTAGGGGAGTGAGGAAGTCTGACGTGGCAAGACATAAAGGTATCCAACAGTGTTCATAGGGGGGTCATTGTATTGTTTGCTTATTTTGAGTACTGGGTCTAGAGCTTGCCACAGTTCTCTACCACCTAAGCCATATCCTCAGTTCTTTTGCTTTTAGGTTGTTTTTTCTGATAGGGTCAAATGGTTCCAGGGGCTGGCCTCAAACCTTGATCCTCCTATCTCTACCTCCCAAGTAGCTGGGATTACAAGCATATACCACCATACCCAGTTCACATGGGGTCTTCTATTGTTATTTTCAAATAGTTATGCAAGGGGGCTATCATTTTACATGTACATTTTTATTCCATGAGGTCTTAAAAGTTAAGTGGAAAGTACTTTCAAAGTGTTAAGATATCTGGCTCCCCAGCGAAATAGCACATAACTCTGTGACAAGACTATAAAGCTCCAGAGAAGTCTCATGTAACACAGGTAGGGGACAAGAGACAACTTGTCACCTTTTTTTTTTTTGGTCAGTTGTGGGGCTTGAACTCAGGGCCTGGGCACTGTCCCTGAGCTTCTTTTGCTCAAGTCTAGCACTCTACCACTTGAGCCTCAGCGCCACGTCTGGCTTTTTCTGTTTATGTGGTATTGAAAAATTGACCCCAGGGTTTCATGCATGCTAGGCAAGCCCTCTACCACTAAGCCACATTCCCAGCCCCAACTTGTCACTTTTAAATTAATAAATATATATACATTTTAATGCAGAAACCAAAGTTTGCATGAATTCATGAAGAATACAACAACTCAAAAGACTTCTGGCTTGTGGTCAGCAGTGGACATCCAGACCTTCAGGGTCACTTCTCTCCTCTGCCATTAAAGCCTAGCTGGTTGCCAGTGTAATCCTAGCTACTCAGGAGGCTAAGATCTAAGGATCAAAGTTAGAAGTCAGCCCAGGCAAAAAAGTCCACGAGGCTCTTATAGCCAATAAAACTACTCAAAAAAGCCGGAAGTGTGCTGTGGCTCAAGTGGTAGAGCTTTTGCTTACTTTGAGCAAAATAAGCGCAGGGACAGCACCCAGGCCCAGAATTCAAGCTCCAGGACTGCTCCCTGCCCTCCACCCCCCTTCCTGCCTCCCCCACTAAAAAAATCCAATGGCAGTCCAGAGTCCAGTTACCCCAGGACACAATCACTGCTGCCAGAAGGAAAACACAAAACCAGGAGCATCTCTACACTCTAAATGCTGTTCTGCCTACCACTGAGCCACCTGTTTGGGGGTGTTTTTTGTTTTGTTTTGTTTTGTTTTTGCCAATCCTGGGGCTTGTACTCAGGGCCTGTGCACTGTCCCTGAACCTCTCTGTGCTCAAGGCTAGCACTCTATTACTTGAGCTACATTTCCAGATTTTTCTGTTTATGTGGTACGGAGGGATCAAACCCAGGGTTTCATGCATATGAGGCAAGCACTCTACCACTAAGCCACACTCTTGTACCATGTTTTGATAGAAGAAAGGCACTGATAGTGTAGTGGGCCCAAGGAAGGGCGTGGTACCTTGATTTTGGCGCCCAGCATCTCAGCAGCATCCTTCTCCCGCCGAAGGTCCTCCATCTTTTTCTCCTTCTCCTTCAGCAGCCTCATCTTCTCCTCTGCTACCAAGCTGTGGTCCTCTACAATAGCCCGCTTCTCAATCTCCAGTTTTTCTTGCTGTTCCCGCCAGTAATCATCCTTATCATCCCCTTCCTCCTCACCCTCTTCTCCCTCCTCCTCCTCCTCTTCCCCACCCCCACCACTGCCACCACCTTCCCTCCGCTTCTCTCGCCTCTTCCGCTTGCCAATGGAGCGTTTTTCCAGCTGGGCCTTGAGCCGAGCAATTTCTTCCTGGAATTCTCGAAGGAGGGCATCCTTTGGGTCCTCATTGACCCTAGGCTTGTTCTTAATGTTTTTGGCACGGTTGGCATATCTCAGGGTGGTCAGAGTCTCTTCTACATTGTAAGAGGCAGGCCCCACATTGGCGACCATCACAGTCTTGGCATTGCCACCAAGGGAATCTTGGAGAAGCCTGGTGAGCTTTGAGTCTCGATAGGGAATATGAGTGCTTTTGCCGTCTACCAGGGCGGAGATGACGTTCCCCAAGGCCGAAAGGGACAGGTTGATCTTGGTGGCTTCTTTCAGTCTTTCCCCTTGGGCACCAGTCTTGGCTTGCCGTTCACTGCCAGCAAGATCTACCAGGTTCAGTTTCCCTACACGGATGTGGTTTTCCCCATCAAGGCCCACCTCGCTGCATTCAATGGTGATAACGAAGATGGCATGAGAGCGGGAGCTATGCTCATTCATGTTGGTCGCACCTACAGATCGGTTCTGGTTCCCCACATTCATCACATGCTCAATCTCCTTGACGCTCTTGGTGACAAAGGAAGACAGGTCTTTGACATATACTCCAGTGTCGGGCCTCTCTTTGAGTTCGAGCCGTTTAGTCTGGTCCTTTGAGAGCAGGTCCCGAATCTCCTCCTGGTAGATCTCTAAGTAAGAAGCCCTGACCAGGTACTGCTGATTCTGTGACCGAGAGATGTGGGTGAAGATATGGTCAAATGAGTTGGGGATAACCCCTCTTTTTTCAGGGTCACCACGGACTCCTTCCATCGTGTAAGTTTTCCCAGTCCCCGTTTGTCCATAGGCAAAAATGGTCCCATTGAAACCCTGCAGTACGGAGTCCACAAGTGGTCGGAAGGTCTCATCATAGAGTTCAAACTGCTTGGCATTCCAGTCATAGACTGCATCAAAGGTGAAGGTCTTGGGCATCTCATGGGCAGTGCCTTTGGGGTTCTTCACAGACACCTGTCCCAGCTTCACGTCTACATCCACCACCTTGTCGTAAGAAGCGGCCTTTTCCTTGCCATTCATGGGCCGGCAGCGGACCACCACCCGGACTGACTCTGAGCTTTTGAGTTTTGACATGATGAACTTGGAGGGCAGTCTTTAGGGCTAGAATCCAAAGCAGCTCAGGATGCTAAAGCCCTACAAAAATTTAAAAAAGCCAAAACATTAAGTATAGGGGCAACTGATAGCAGCTGACACATACAAGTCATCTTTGCTTGCTAACTTTCCAACAGCCAAATTAATGACTTTCCAACACTATTTCCTCATGGGATCTTAACTCCAGTCCACCTAAACTGTTTAGCCTGTCTTCCTATCAATCGACACTTAGTATTTGTTATTCTACAGATGGAGGCAACTATAAATCTTTTTTTAAAACTTGGGTTAGCCAGGCGCTGGTGGCACAAACCTATAATCCCAGCTATTCAGGAGGCTGAGATCTAAAAATCACGGTTCAAAACCAGCTCAAGCAGGAAAGTCTGTGAGACTCTTTTATGTCCAATTAACCATCAGAAAACCCCAAATGGAGCTGTGGCTCAAAGTGGTAGAGTGCTAGCCTTCAGTGAAAAAGCTCAGGGTCAGTGCTCAGGCTTCAAGTTCAAGCTCCACAACCAACAAAACAAACAAACAAAAAAACTTGGGTAATTTTTTTAACTTTTTTTTTTTCAAGTCCTAGACTTGAACTCAGGTATGGGCACTGTCCCTGAGCTTCTTTTGCTCAATGCTAGCACTCTACCACTTGAGCCACAGCTCTGCTTCCTCCTTTTTTGGTAATTTACTGAAGATAAGTCTCATGGACTTTCCTAGCTGGGCTAGCTTCAAACATGATCCCAGATCTTCGCCTCCTGAGTAGCTGAAATTATAGGTGTGGGGCATCAGCACCCAGCTAGCCTGGGTGGTTTTGTGTATGCTGGTCCTGGGGCTTGAAGTCAGGGCCTGGGTACTATCCCTGAGTTTTTTTGCTCAAGGATAGCACTCTACTAGTTGTGACATAGCTCTATTTCAACTTTTTGTGTGTATGTGTATGGCAGGTTATTGGAGATAAGAGTCAGACTTTTTTTTTTGCTGAGTGTGGTGGCTCATGCTTGTAATCCTAGCTACTCAGGAGGCTGAGATCTGAGGATCAAGGTTCAAAGCCAGCCCAGGCAAGAGACTTTATCTCCAATAAAAACCACTTAGAAAACTAGAAGTGGCACTGTGGCTCAAGCGGTAGAGTGCTAGCCTTGAGCTGAAGAGCTGAGGGACAGTGCCCAGGCCCAGAGTTCAAGCCCCATGACCAACCAAAAAAAAAAAAAAAAGCGAGAGAGAGTGAGTCAGAATTTCTGTTTGGGTTGACTTCGAACAGTGATCCTCAGATCTTAGCTTCCAAAGTAACTATGAGTTATGGTGGCATGAGCCTCCAAACCTGGATGTTCTTACATCCTTGGAAGAAAGCAATTCAGTACTATCACAACTGACAACTGGCCTACAGGTAGATATCTCCTATAAAGACATAAAATAGTTGGTTATTTGTTGTGGCAGCTATTGTGGTATCAATACTGTGGACAATTCCAATCTCCAAAATGGGAAGCCTGCACACTTATTAAAAAGAATATGGTAAGCTTAACATGATTCTATCCCAAAATATGTTATTAAGGGAAAAAAGCAGGTGAGGAACAGTGTTTACCTAGCAGTAAGAAGGGGGTACGAGTTTTCTAGCATATGTGGTGAGCACTGGTGTAAATTATGGGCTCAGGCATGTATCACCATACCAAGCTGGGAACTTTTCTAAACAGGCAATTCAGGTGGTTAAGGCCCTTTGGAGACAGATCTCTCTCCCTTACCTGTTCTCTAGCCACTCACTTCCCTGCCCACAGGCAAGTATTCTCAGATTTTTGATCCTCCTGAGACAGTTGATGCATAACAAGTAAGTACATATTACCTGCTCATCCCTCATTTTATACAGGCATGTATCCAGTCCTCTAGGGTTCTGTATATACCTTTTTATTTCTCATTATAACCTATCTTGGAGTTTGCTCTCTCAATAAATAGAGCTACCTTATTCTTTACAATAACAGGATACCTGAGGTAGGGGCATGCATCATAATTAATTTAATATCTATGCTACAGATGCACTTCAGCTTGTTCTGATATTATACTATGAAAACCTTAGGTTGCACTATCATTTCATGTGTGGAAAAGTATATTTGGAAAAACTAAATTCCTAGAAATTGAATTTCTGAACCAAAAGATATATACATTTATAGTTGGTTCTGGTAGCATGCACCTACAATCCCAGTGACCTAGGAGACAAGGTAGGAGTGTCACAGATTCAAGGCCAGCCTAGGCAATGTTTTCAAGACTATTTCAAAAACAAAATAAAGGGCCTAGCATGGTGGCTCATGTCTGTAATCCCAGCTACTTGGGAAGCACAGATCAAAACCATGCTTTGAGGATAACCCAGATTAAAAAAAAAAAAGTTAGCATAATCTCATTCAACAAACAAACTGGTTCATATACCTGTAATCCCAGCATTAGGAAAGCATAGGTAAGAGACTTAAAACCCAAGGCTCACCTCAGCCAAAAAACTTGAAACCCTATAAAAAGAAATTACAAAAGCAAAAAGGGCTGGGGCATGGCTTGAAGGGGTAAAATATTTGCCTAGTAAGCCCCAGGGTCCTGAATTCAAACCAGTACTATCAAAAAATAAAACAAAAACAAAAATAAAAATGAAGCGAGGCACAAGTGGCTCACATCTGTAATCCTAGCTACTCAGGAGGCTGAGATCTAAAGATTTCAGTTTGAAGCCAGCATGGGCAGGAAAGTCTGAGAGACTCCTATCTCCGATTAATCACAGAAAAAGTTGGAAATAGCACTATGGCTCATGTGGTAGGGTGCTAACCTTGAACAAAAAGGAGCTCAGTAGCCAAGTCCAGAGTTAGAGTCCCAGAATGGGGGAAAACACACACACACACACACACACACACACACACACAAACACAAATGGTAGGAGCATGGTTCAAGAGTTAAAGAGTACTTACCTAGCAAATGTGAGAAATGTGAGATGTGAGGACTTGGTTTCCATCTCCCAGTAGGAGGAGGAGGTAAAAAAGCTTTATCCAAAATGACTTCAAGAGCTATTGCAGAGATTACAGCTAAAGCCAAATTTTGCCCATTCAACATCTCTAGAGTAACATTTTCCATTGTTTAGTTTATAGCCACAATCTTAAAAAAAAATCTGAGATGTACATATCTGATATTAAGAACTAAATCTTAGGCCAGTAAAAAAGCAAGATCAACAACAAAGTATGCACAAGGCAATTCTTCCTTCATCACCTGCTAGATACAATCAGAATTTGCAAGATAGGAAGAAAGAATCAGATGTTAGAATGGTTCACTTTAATTTGGAGGGAAAGGGTCCCTACAGCTATGTCTAATGCCCTGCCTGTCTCTCCATTTCTGCCTAAGCTGGTCTGGATGTAAAAGGAAACCCCATCCTGCCAGCCTTGTTCAGAAGACCTCAGGTACAAGGGATGGAAGCCAGGCAAGATCACATATTAGCAGAGAGAAAGGCTCGGGCTGAAGGGCAGGCCAGTGGAGACAACCTGCATCACAAGCTCTGCTCAGCCAAGCTTTTGCTTTTGCCTAGTGAAACTGTGCCCTCTCCTCCTGCATTCCTATGCAATCAGGCTTTTACCTAGTGAAATTGGGGGTGGGGGAAGGGCTCTGTTTTATTAAAACATCTCCAAAGCTAGATGCTGGTGGCTCACACCTAGCTACTTAAGAGGCTGAAATCTGAGGATCACAGTTTGAAGCCAGCCTGGGCAGAAAAGTCCCATGAGATTCTTATCTCCAATTAACCACCAGAAAACTGGAAGTGGCGCTGTGGCTCGAAGTAGTAAGACACTAGCCTTGAGTAAAAAGAACTCCAAGGGACAGTGCCCAAGCCCTGAGTTCAAGCCTCACAACCAACAAAATAAATAAATAAATAAACCTTCAGAGCAAGCTGACTTCCAGGCTCAAAAATGTATGGTTTTTGAGCTCTCCAAAATGTTATAAAAACAAAAGAATGCCGAGAGCCGGTGGCTCACTCCTATAATCCTAGCTACTCAGGAGACTGAGATCTGAGGATCACAGTTCAAAGCCAGCCCGGGCAGTAAAGTCCATGAGACTCTTATCTCCAATAAACCACTAGAAAACCGGAAGTGGTGCTGTGGCTCAAGCGGTAGAGCAGTTGCCTTGAGCTGAAAAGCACAGGGACAATGCCCAAGCCCAGAGGTTCAAGCCCCACCACTGACAAAAAAAAAAGGAATGGTAATGATCTACATTAATCTTCAAAATGCTTAAAAAGGAAGGAAATCCTATAGCATGAGTTCTCTTAATTAAATCTCCCCAACTCTGAACATGGAACACATTTCTCTTCTGAACTCATCTAGCTACATCGAACTAGTCATATATTATTGATATTTTATTTCAGGAAGATAGACTAATTTAATTTCCTGCCACCAGGACTTATAACCTTGTTCTGGGCACTCCTTGATGAAGAATTTTCTTAGAAAGATGCCCTGATGCTCTTCCTTTATTACCTTCTTAGTAATAGTTGCAGTTGCAGGCCTAGTTGCAGAGTGATAGGTCATTAAAGAAACTCTCAGTACTGCTGGGAAACAAGGAACCACAGGTCAGAAGCTCATTCATTGCCTGCTTGCTGAATGAACCCCTTTCCTGGGGAACTCACCATAAGATGATACACCCACTGTCTCAACTGCAGAGGGCATCAACTCACGGTAGCTATGCTCTTCATGGTTCTCCAACTCTCTCGTGTCTGAGTTCTTCCATCCTCACCTTCACTGGCCTGTCATGGAGCTTCACCTCAAAGTCTAGAGCTAGGTATGGACTGGGTTCTCAGAAACAACTGGTTTCTTACAGAGATTTTAAGACAGAGGTTCCAAAATGATCATACTCAATCTGAAACCAAGTTTTGTTTTTGTGTTTATGGTGCTAGAGATGAACACCAGGCTTTGCACATACTAGGCAAGCGAGTCAACCAATGAGTTACAGCACCAGCACTCTGCACATAACTTTTTACGGGACTGTGTAGTATTAAAAAAAAAAAAAACAAAGTGAGCCAGCACCTGTTGCTCAAGTCTGTAATCCTAGC